CGATATAACAAATCGTGGAATGCATATATGCATATGTATAATTATATAAATATAATATAAATATGTTATAATGCATAATAAAGTATATATAATACAATGCAAAATATATAATAAAAATTGCATATAGGTACATATAAATATATTCTATCCATCTATATAATTCTATCCATATAATTCTATCCATTATTCTTTAAAAATAAACTAATAATATTTTTAAAATAATGATCAACAACAACTGACACGAAAACTATTTAGTATCTGACAATTTAATATTTAATATATCAAATTTTTAAACTTAGGTATACTTTGTAATATTATCAATCAAGTAAACGATTTGCTTAGTTCATATAAATGCGATCGATAAATTGTCTATGATAAATATGCGATTCTGGGACGTAGAGTCTGATTTGATTTCGTATCTTCGACCTATGCACTTTATATTTGTAATTAGTATAAATACGAAATCTTCCGATAACCGTGCGACGAAGATTCTAAACAATATTTACTCGCAAATAACGATATCAGCAAGATAAAAGCCTTCGAGCTCTGCATCTGCGCTTTAGCGTGTATTGTCATTTTCTCTACCTTGCCTCAACCTACCTTGATCTTCGTTCTTTCTGGCCAGAGTGCCTCACCTTTTATAGCACCTGGCCGTATCCTGGCTTTATATAGCCAGAGATCGGTAGCAAGAAGAAATACTTCTTCTGCTGCCGGCTAATCATCGCCGGCAATAAGCGTAAGATTTTACGCTTTTGTACGATGCGCGAAACACGAACGCGTCGCGAAGAGACCATCACATTAATTAAAGCAATTAAATACGATATTAACAATTAACAACAACAATAATAATTTTATTATTATATAAATTAATTTTGCATTTATTCTTTACACGCGTTTATTCATAGCAATTAAAATATATATCTAGTAATTAAAATAGATGTCCGATTGGAAATAAATCTAAATTTGACAGTTTTGATCGCGATTATGATATTCAATTTTTGATTATATTATAACTTTATTTTATATTATAACTTTAATTTTATATTATAACTTTATTATGTACTTTATAATATAAACAATAAAATTTAAATTTAAAAATTTCCCATACAATTAGATATGATAAAAATGTCTTTGCATTTTGTAAATTATTAGAATTATAATATTTTGTCGTATAGTAAATTATTTTAAAATCATTTTTAAGTAATTTAAAACTGATCAATTTTAAAATAATTATTTCTAGATAATTAATTAAAAAAGAATCTTCTATTTCATAACAATAAATATATATACATATATTGAATCTCACGTCATATTACTATTTTAACTGGTAAAATTCAGTTATCAATTACCTCAATAGATATATGTTAATTTATCACTCACCGACCCCGATGCGCAACAGCGGAATTATATCTGCCACGTAGCTACGTTGATTCTGTAATAAACAAATATAAAATTCATATTAAAACAATGTTCAAAAAATTTAATATTTTAAAACAATTCTTATCAATCGAACGTTTCATTATCACATCGAACGTTTTATTCATTACTCAAAATTAGATGCTTCCTTATAATTATACATTCTCCGATAAAGATCTTTACAAAAATCAATTTTTACAAAAGATTAAATTACTCCTTTTCTTTTAACCATTATTTTCAAATCAAATGGTGTTGAAATAAAGAGGCTCAAGAATAAACAAAAAAAAATTACTCTTACACAAAATAAAAAATAATATTTACCGCAAAGTTGTTCCGCTGGCGCCTAATGCCTCTCCCAGGCCTCCTCCTCCTCTCAGGCTGTCCTCTCGGGTTGTCAGCTCCCTCGATGCGACACTTTGGGCGCCGTTATCTCCTAAAGCATATATAAATAAACGATTTGATATTAAATAATTCTTACACATTAAACTTCTTATTCATCATTCAAAATTACACATTTATTTAAATAATTTTACATTTTCGGAAAAAAATCTTTATAAAAATAATTTTTTATAAAATTTCAAATTATTTCTTTCTTTGTAATTATTATTTCAAAATCACAAGAGAGAGAAATAAAACAATTCAAGTATAAGCAAAAAATAATATTTACCACAATGATGTTTTGCCGGCGCCTGACGCCTCTCCTAGGCCGCTTCTTCCTCCTCTCGGGTTCTTCCATCTAAACCCTTTTTTTCACACAACAGCGTATATGTCTGTCTGATTTCTCTCTTAGGCCTCCTCATCCTCCTCTCGGGTTTTTCCATTTAAACCCTTTTTTTACACAACAGCGTATATGTTTACAAGATTGACCTGTAACATATTTAAATAAAAATAATGTTTAAAATAAATATTCTGATATCCTAATCTTACAATTTAAACTATTATAAATTTTAATTATTTAGAAATATTTGGAAATATTGTATATATATTAACAAGTAATATTTTATATATACATATCTTTATTAATATTAATCAAGTCATAAATAATTTATTAGATATTTTTAAAAAATCTTAAAATATAAGCTAAAATATTTTAATAACATAAAATATTTTAACAATAAATAAGTGGAATAAGTAAGTCCGTTTGTTCTTCTTCGAAGGACTTCTAAAACTGCAACTGGTGCAATAAGTTAGACTGAGACAAGTATATTTTGTTTCACTCTAACTTATTGCACTAGTGTGCATCACTTCAGGAAGTTCTTCGAAAAAGAACAAACGGAGTGGAATATGAGACATACAGTCGTCAACATCAAATTACCGGAAAAGCTGTTAAAATATTTTATTTATTACACAGTGCATTAGATATATTCATTACACTATTGCATTACACTATTACATACTGCAGTGATCTGAAAACGATAAACTGCGCAAATAAATAATTATTTCCATTATTAACAATTAATAAATAGATTATGAAATGCTTACTTTATCTGTTACACCTGGCCGCCTCCTTGGCTCCTCCCGCTCTTCTCTTCTTTTTTCGTTGTTATTTCTGCGCACTTACATCTGTTTCCTAAAACAAACAAAATATTGATTACAATAAATCGATTATAAGCAATCACTAGAATCGCGGCTCTCCATACTTTCTACGATACTCTCGAAATTAATCACACGCGACGCGTACTTAATCATATTGCAACAGCGGAGAAATAAGAGAAAAAATTATAGCACGTTCGATATCAGCGTTATATCACAAATACAATTCAACGCATCAAAATGCATCAATGAAACGCGGTGTCGCTAGATTGATTCGCGCGACAGATCTTTGGCTGAACAAGACTTTCGAACGCGTTCGAACGGATTATCAATATCCGAGCGCCGAATCTATACTTCTCGCGTTAGGTACCTCATTAAATATTAGATGCAAAGTTAATTTACATGTTATACTTAACCAATTAAATAAGTCGCGACGGCCACTCATTCCGGAGCCGATCCGTCTCGTGTCTGTCCACTCTGTCCGCCGCGTTCTGTAAATGAAAGGGGAATGTTTCTTTTATTTTATTATTTATTTTATTCTTTATATATATATATTATATATATTATATTTGTATATTTTATGTATTTATAAAATAAAGAAATATAATAAATAATATAATATAAATTATGTCACTCTTGGTCGTTCCGAAACTGCCAGTACTAAAATTGTATAGGTCACGTCACATGTATTATAGATTCATAATTTGTATGGAAATAAAAATATAAAGTATTATGTGTGGAACTTGTATTAAAACTAGCTGGTTACCCGGGGCTTCGCCCCGGCGTCTTTTTTTACAACTTTATTATATCTAGCTAATCTTATATCCACCAATATATAATTCTTAACACATATTATCAATTGTAATTTTTTTACATCGCCCATGATCCTCACCGAATTCAATAACAACCTTCCTAGTGACTGGCGAACTTCCTCGATGTCGATAATGTCAACCTTTCTAATTTTGTTTTCCCTATATCTGTCTTTATCTAACGAAATGACATCTGTCCTTTTTTCGAATGCTCGCCATCTCTCGCAAGATCCGGCAACTACTGTTGCTGCTCTTCTTGTCATTTGCATCCGTATTTGCATTACTAAAATAATTTTTCGATGGATCTTTTTTTGTACGCATTGAATCTTACTTCTACTTGCACGATATTATTCCATGTTTTCCCAAGGGCGCAGATAATAAAAATTATGTATGTATAAACTGCAGAATTTTTGTTTTAAGCAAATATTGTCGTCAGGTGACAGCTGCGTATGTGCCCAAATAAGTAATATTTTTAATTTTTTGGTGTTTTTGATATAAAATCGCGTTTTCTACCCTAGATTTTTGTGCGTACTTTAATTCTAGACCAAAAACTTCCAATTAAAAGATCCATCGAAAAACGATAATGTCGGTAAATCATACGATTTAGTTTGAGGGTTGCCGCGTGATGGTGTTGCGTGTTGCTTGCACAATTCTTCAGTTTACAATTTCAGCTGGTGCGTGTTGATTTGTGTTACGTGATTCTGACAATTAATTGCGATTGATTGCGATTCACGTTCTGTTTTTTTCCTTCTTACGCCCGCGTAGGCCAAGATGTTCCCGTATAGCTCGCAAAAGAAATACTGGATGTTTAGCGATGAGAGCGATTTGACCGCTTTGAGGGAGAAAACAAATGCTGATTTTATTGCAAAGCATGGCGCTAATATGACTGTGAGTCTACTTTTTCGTAACTATTTTTTTAGAACTATTGCTTTTTTTAAATAACGTTTCTGTACGTCTATTTCTGTGTGTACTTATGACTTCCGGGATTAAGTACCGTCGATGAAAATCTAGGTTATGTGTACCTTATATATATGTATATAATTAAATATACTTGTGTGCACAAAATACTGCTAATTATCAATGCTATTATTATATTGTGAATTTGTTAAATTTTTTCTATATTTATCTCGAATAGCAAATGTAATTAACCAATACATGTAGTATAATTACAAATGCTTGATTATAATGCAGATGGAGGAAAGGGAGGAACATTTTCTCTCGCACACAGATGAGCGTACATTGCTTCGTTTCTATGAATTACAATTAAGGGATTTCTGTCGTCGATTCAATCCACCGATGCCTCGAGCTACTGTAGCCACTGCCTTACATTACTTCAAAAGGTTTTATCTCAGAAACAGTGTGATGGATTATCATCCGAAAGAGATTTTGGTCACCTGCGTTTATCTAGCGTGCAAAGTAATTATCTTCCTTGATATATAATTTTTTTTATAGTTATTTGTAATTTCAATCTTTTCACACAAAAACTCTTCTATTTTAGGTTGAAGAATTTAATGTCTCTATATCTCAATTTGTAGCAAATATTAAGGGGGATAGAGAAAAAGCATCTGACATAATCCTTAATAATGAATTACTTCTCATGCAACAGTTGAATTACAATCTTACTGTTCATAATCCATTTAGACCTGTGGAAGGGTTGATGATTGATATAAAGGTACATAGTCTTCTGTTGACGTTGTCTTATCTGTGACAGAAGTAAATATCTTGTGCATGCTTTTATAGACAAGGTACACGTCTTTGGAAAATCCTGAAAAATTAAGGCAACACATAGATGAGTTCTTAGAAAGGGTTTTTCTGACAGACAGCGTTCTTCTTTATGCTCCAAGCCAAGTTGCGTTGGCTGCAACTTTGCATGCGGCATCCAGAGCTTCCGCAAATTTAGACAATTATGTCACTGACATACTATTCTCGAGGGAGCAATTGGGTGGAATTATAGAAGCTGTGCGAAGTAATGACGTTTTATGTACTGCACGATATTTGCATATATTCTCATTGCATAAGTTATTCATATTTACAAATTAATTTTTATAGAAATACGTTCAATGGCTAAATGTGTAGAACCACCTTCACGAGAAGTGGTAAAAGCTTTAGAGAAGAAATTAGATAAATGCAGAAATCAGGAAAATAATCCTGATAGTGAAATGTAAGTATCCTTTTTTTTCTTTTTTTTTTCTTTTTTTTTTTTCGAAGACCACTCGTACAAGTTTGGAGAATTTCTAGATACAAACAGAGAATGCAGGAAATGCTGGATGAAGAGGATTTACAGGATAATGAAAAATATGCAAAGATTATTCAGGACCAAGCGGCCCACGACGATAAGATTTTGGGAGTTAATAAAATTTTATCTCCCTCTGCTTCGTGATAATAAATGTAAGTTTTGTATGATAATAAAATTTCTCATATAATCTCTATAATCTCATATAAATTAAACTATTAAATTATAAAAATCTTGTACACATTCCTACAAAAATTCATTTTTAACTTTATTTTTTCACTCTTATGACATACATTGAATTTTACAGCGACATTTATCACTAATTTAAACATGTAAATACTTTTATTTTGTTCATTTTCTTTGAAAGTAGTTGCGTCACAATTATTGTATTAAATTTACATATACATATAGTAATGTTAAGAAATTATTTTGTACATGTACTATATACTTTTATAAATGCATATATAAAAAGATAGTCATACAAATCTAGTAACATTTAATTTTTACCTTATCTTATTCTCTACACTTTCGTACATTGTTGAATTTCACGGCAAATAGGTATATTTGCTTTATCAAAAAATCTTGCGCTAAAAGTAGTTTATTTATATGAGCGTATTTATATTATGTTTCTTATCCGAGTACTTATTACATTTTTAAATTAAATTATTCTCTAATGTTTTTGATTTAATTTATTTCAATATTGCACTATGAAATAATTTAATCCTCTGAGGATGATGATGAATCCACATATGCGTTCGGCGATAGTTATCTCTTCGTGGAATTTATTATACATATATTTAACGAAAACAATCGGCGTGGCCAATGGAATCATGACTTTGGTAAACATTTTTATTTTACGCTCTCGACACAAGCACCAAATTATCAGTATTGCAATGTATACAAACACGTGTTCCGAGAGTTTGTGGTGATCAGTTAATAAACTTGACTTTATTTGTTTCGGTAATGTATCTCGATTACTCAGAACGCGTCATCTTTTTCGTCTATTTTTCAATACGAACATTCACTGATTTCAATCTATTTTAAAGTTAAACCAAATAAAATATTCATAAATAAATAATGTGTTTTATAAAAATAGAGATATTTTATGTAATTTAACTTGAATAACAAATTAAAATAGTGACAGTTATACATATCGTAATCGATCGGTATCTCAGTATACGCGGTACTAAAAAAATGTGCGCTATATAGTTATAAATAATGATTGTTATCGCTGGCAAACAAGTCCGATTTCATAGCCTCATATTGCTCTGTACGCAAAAAATGATTAATTACTTTTATACGACTGATTACAGATTTAATTTAATGGATCATGATGCCTGAAGTCCAATCTCTGAGTTAGATGATGCGCGATATGACTGGTTGGTATGTTTTGAAAGATGGATGTTTGTTGTCTCATCGATATATTACTAGGCAGTGGTTGAGCAATAGGTAATGCAGGGGGTAACGGTAACGGTGTTAAATGCTGCGGGAGCAATGTTCCTGGTTGCGGTTGTCCTGGGTAATTGAAGAACCTACAAAGAGACATACGTTAATGTACCACAAAATTCTAATCTATATTTGACTGATTAAGGAGAGTGCAATATCATAAGACAAAATGCTATCTATGTTTCTTTTTTACATTATAGGATTAACGTGTTTAAATCACCTTTTTTATTCTTTTTCACATATGATTGAAATGGATCAATGCTTTTTCTAAATAAGTTCTTTCTGAATTTTAATTGTGGAATAAGTCAGATCTTTTTCTGCAACTTTAATTTCTCGTAACTTTTGATAAAATTTATAATTTTTCAAAATCAATCGATCAAATCATATCCATTTCTGAAAAGATTAAAAAGATTATAAAAGTTTGTCAGTATTTTCCACGAAAAAGGTACATGAAAAACGTAGATAAAAAACATGATTTTATAAAAGATCACTTCAAAGATTTTGTCATCGCAATCTAACATTTTTTACAATGATTTGCAATTCTCTTTTTCATTATTTATTTCAAATCAAAGCTAGTAGAGGATTTGGCATTAATATATCGATATGGAAGATTGTAGAGAGAGAGAGAGAAAATTATTTTGAAAAATAAAATAAACTTAAAGTATTGTTTTTGTTCGTGTTTTGTTGATTTTTATTGAAATTTCATTTGTATGAACTTTCTATTGTTTTTACTTTATCATTTTTATTAACATTTTATATATTTATATAGTTGCAGAAATATTGTTTATTATGATCCACGCAAGGACTATATATATATTTAATTTTTTTTTAAATACAATTAAGCATATCAAAAAATTATTTTAAATTGCTCAAAATTGCATCTTATTCTTTAATTAAGAGATACGGTAGCGTTTGTATAAATATCTAATTAGCAATAAAATCTTGTGAGACAAACAGTATATTTTTTACAAGGAGAGAAAAGCGTTCGTTGGAAATGATTGTATTTTTTATTAGATCTATACCATAAACGATCACCGACAAAAATGGGTCGTGGTGCTGGAATTCCTAAGCTCGAATAGTATTGCTGCGCCAATAATTCGACGTCATTAGTGTACTTTCTTTTCCATTTAGTTCGTCTATTTTGGAACCATATCTTTATCTGTAAAAGATAAAATTAATAAAGATTTACATGTGATGCACAAAACATAGAAGTCAGTTAATTAGAGTATTTAGACTAACTGAGATCAAGTATTAATCGCGGATTTGTTTTTAAAAGTTGCAGCTTCCAAACCTCCGAAAGTTTTTGACAATTCAACACATGTGCCACAATTAAATATAGATAAGGAAAGAAATAGCAATTTAGGATAACATTGTTTGTAAATGAGTACGAGGTTTATAAACGATACGGATAAATACATTTTAAATCTTTATTTTATGTATTAAATTTTATATGTTAAATCTCATAAAATTGTTAAAACATATTGTCTTTTTTGTAACGTTCAATTTTAATAAATAGTAGCATATTGTATACCGTAGAAAAATAATGTCATCTCTTATACAGATCAAAATTCCTCAAAGAGTTTCTAGCAGCTAGTTCGCGAACATAAGGGGCCGACGACGTATTCTAATTAAAAAATCGACGCCTCTCCGGTTCGTCGCCTCGACGGCGCGCAGCAGCCGTCGCTCGGTACATTTCGTTCCGCGGCGGATGCAAGCCTCGCGACGACGGAACGTACGAGATGGGCTTGCGAGAAGGGGGAAAATAGGGGTTCTCCCGAACTGGCTCGTTAACTCCGAGAAATATTGTGACAGTTATGTCTGCGGCACGACGCGTCTCTTTCTTGCCTCTGATCCGTCGTCCGATCGTTCTTCCTTTCGACCGCGATTGCGAGAGATAATTATCCGGCTCGTTCGCGATATTTCGACCGGCGCTGGCAATTATTGCCGGCAAGCAACTGGTCGGCGATGACGGCGTGGCGCAATCTCGGCGATGGCGAATATTCTGGGGGTGCGGGTCGTAAATTAATTAGTTTAAAGCGCGGGCGAGTATCCACGCTACAAAGTACATTGCCGAGACTTAGGCAACCATGGCACTCTGCGAGCAATCGTCATGTCGGGAAATTATAGAGTGCTCTTTCGGGACCGGTTAATATTAGAAGATAATATCGCCACGGAAAGTCCGTGGCGTGATTACATATTTACTACCGATGCAGGAATTGGAGCGAGATTTCAACGCAGAAGGAAAATTATCAAATCATGCGTTTTAAACTAAAATTATGAAACTATTAAATTATCACATTTATATGAATATGATTATACGATCATTTTTAATAGGCTGCTTCTTCCATTCCGTGAAATACTTTTGCCTAAATCTTTCTTTACATTATATTTTAAACACTATATAGCATATCAAGTTCCGGTTATGTAGAATAAAAAAACTTTCGGAAAAAGGTTTAAATACGTGATAAAAAGTTTCCTTCCATAACAGTTCGCGGGAAAGAAGGGTAGAAGTGCTAATTGGTTTTAAAGGACGATCCTCCCCATGGCGCCGTGAGCTGGCGCCTGCACATATGGTGCTTCACAGGCTCATAATTTAGAGTCAGTTGATTTTAAAGAACTCGAAGTACAAGAGACTTAAACTCTTTCAGGTGTTGAGGAAAGTCTGCGGAAGTCAAAGGCATTATCGCAATTTATTGAGTACAATATCCTGTTTTGGGATAGCCGCATTGATCTTCCGTGTTCTGATCCAATTAAACGCAACATAAAAATATACTGGAATAGTTGGCAGCAGAATTAGAATTAACAGCTATTATTTATTATTATTATATATTATTATTAGAATTAATCGAGTGTTTGTAAGAGCATTAGGATAAAAGGGATTTACGGGACTTATTGTTAGTTTTAAATTAAAATTGTGAATAAATAGCTTCTTCTAAAAAGCAGTTAAGAAGGAATTATTGAAAATAAGTATTAATATAAGATGAGTAATAAATATTTACTTGTGTTTCTGTGAGCTTTAAATTTTTGCTCAGCTGCAGCCGTTTTGCCACACTCAAGTACTTGTTCCTTTCGAATTCCGCCTCCAAGGATTTAATTTGCGTGGCGGTGAACGCCGTGCGTGGCCTCTTCTTCCTTTCGTCGTCGCTAATAGCGGCGGTCTTCTCCTGCGTGTCCCTGTCCGCGCTCGTGGTTGAGTTCGCACCACTGCTGCTGGTGCATGCTTCTGTAAAAATATTCCGCCTCTTTTAAATTAAATCGAGATAAGAGTAACGTGAAGAAAACAGCTCCGCTGAGATACGAGCTTTTTACTCTTTAAGCTATTTTGCAAGCAATTAACAACGGCATGTATCAACGATGACACTTATGACACCGAAAGGTGCAATCGAGCCTTAATACTTGCGTCGTGCAAACGCCTTTTTGATGATCAGATGCATATATCGGTATCGAAAGTAAGCCATCTCAAATACGGCCCGATTAAGTAACGGCAAATTACAACGCGTAAGTTCTTCAATATGGAAACGAGAGAAAGTATATTGCAGCGCGGAATGCGAGTAATTGATGCGAGCATCGAAATCGCGTCATCATTCACTTGAAACCCGTTGTATACACGTCGCGGACACTATATCTTTATTCTTTTAATCGCTTTTGAATGAAGTAAATAACACGCGCGAACCCGTATGCCGTTGAATGTGAGCGCACTGCAATTACCCTCGTGGAATTTTCTTTCTCATCAATCTCGGGACTTTTTGTACGTCGAAGTTGTTTATATTTATATTTATCCCGGCTTACAAGACTTGCCGTACACGATGTCGCACCGCGTGTCGTGAAGAATGTCTTCGGGCTCGCTTTTAGACAGTTGGTAACAAGACCGCGCTCTTTTAAGCGTCGGAGGATCATCTTCTAATTATCTGCCCATTCGTCATCCGACGAAAAAGTGTGGCATCGCAACGGCCGACTAAGCTTGCGATTAACACTGAGAATATTATGCTACTAATTCTACTGATTATCACTGAAATAATCTCGATACACTTCGACAATAGTTTTTTAAGTTTTTTTTTCTAAACAACAATACTAATCAATCTCATAAAATATTAAATCTAAAAAATATTATTTGTTCAACTTATTTATCAACCATATATTAATAATGATAAAATCTATAATGCGCTGTGAAGAATAAAAAAAGCAGTCAATAATTAAATACGCTGGAAAAGTTGTACTAATTTAAGATTAAAACTAGAATAAAATTATAAGAATAAGAACTGGCAATTATGAAAAACTTTGAAATAGAAAGACAACGTCTGCCCCATAATCATTTAAACCTATTGGCACAAGTTATTTCGATAGAGTCGAAAACTATTAAACTTCTACTCAGAAGAACGGGTAGGAGCCGTTCAACTTACGGTTCAGGTGGTTTCTCGTGTGCCCACGACAATAAATATTCCGAAAAAGCTATTCGCGGCGACATTATGCCAAGAAGCGCCGTTTACTAGCTACTAATTGTCAGATGGCGACGTAATTGTCGCGTTTCTCGCGCCTTTTTCGTGGCTTTCTCGCTTATAGCCGTACCGCAGAATTGTCGGCTAAAACTGTACCGCCTCTAATTCACTTCGCGCGAAACGCACTACCGACGTGCACACTCGATGCAGTTATCCATGTCTTAAAAGAGAATCATGTCCGCCGTTGCAGCAGTGGTAATATTTCGTTTCTGGATTACCGTATAGCGCTTTTAAGTACGCTTGCAAATTATGGTATTGAAACTCCATTTATATATATTATATATTATGAAAACGTGCAAATTTTTTTCTTCTAATAAATATTAGCATTACTTTTTTCAAGTGTTACACATCAGTGCACAGTATAAAAACAATAAAAAAACAAGTTGATAAAAATTATTTAACCTGTGTAAAGTTAGCCCCTCCAACATTAAAAAAAAAATAATAACTTTCTTATAGCTCATTCGATTGCTCATCGTTTGCACAGCTATACATATTTCGAATTTAAATATTAAATAACATTCTGGAAGATTATTATGATATACCATTAAGATGCGATGCATATAAAATTATCACAATCTGCTCTCGCAACCGGAAGGATGCGGAAAAAAGAGGAAGAGAAAAGAGTCTGCAAGGGGCGAGTCTCGCACGGCTCATTTGTCGTCGAGTTTCTGACTCGGTTGCATTGACGAACGAGCTCTGGAAAGCGGTAGGAAAGGATTGGTGCGGAGGAAGCGGCCGCAAAAAGGAGTCGACGACACGGAGGGCAAAGAGGAGCGAAGCTCGAGGGACAGGAACACGTTGGACGTCGCGGAAATAGAATACCACGCCTTCTAGTTTACCTAATTGCCGCGAGCCACGGCGAACTTGTCCCCTAATTATTCGGTGACGAATGGCACGAGGACACGCAGAAGTGCGCGATAAAGCGCGGCCAAATCTCATTCGTCTGACGTTGCTAGCCATTTTATACTCGCAATCGACCCCGGAGTATAATTAATTCGCACGCGAGCCGCGACGATTGGCAAATCTGCCTCGAAAATGACTTTACGACTGGGTTTTTTGCTACCACTCAAGATCTTAATATCCAAACAGTAAAATCACTTAAATCAACGAACTTATTAATAACTTAGGCATTGCAAGAAAATATATTCGAAAATTCAATCTGACACTTAAAGATGTCAGATTAATACTTAAATTTCTACGACACACCCTTCTATTTTAAAACATCATTCATTAATATTTTGATAGATATAATATTTGAGAATAAAAAATTGAAATTATACTGATATAGGTGTTGATGTATGAATGCAAAATTATCGCTCGATATCATAATGGGCTCATTTAAGAAGCGCTTCTCTGGTATCACCCCTTGCTCTTTATGCTGTTCTTTCACGAAGATTTACGTGCTGCGTTGACGGCTTTGTAGTTGAACGCGACATCCCACATATCTCATTCCCAACACACGGCGCAAACGGAGAATTGTCCTTTCCTTAGATCTCGAATTTATCGCGTCGGCCATTACGGCGTGTAAATCACGATGCAGTTACGTGCCCTCGGATGGAAATTAGTCGTTAAGGTCCTCGAGAGCGTGCGAGATGTCGCGGAATTGAGTCGCTCGATTCTCATATTAATTATCCGTAAAACGTAAGCCGGTTTTCCATTATGCCGCGTCGAATAACGATTGAAATATATTAAAAGCAATACTGTCTCTAGCCTTCTAGCAATCGTATGTTGGTGATAATTATTCTCGGAAATAATTTTATCTGAAAAATTTGCTGAGCAAATTATAGTAGTATATAAAATGAACTGCATGTGTAATAATAATAAATTAATCGTTATGTTTTAAGAGAAGCTTTCCCGAACTTTCAAGTTTACAGAGTTGCGATTTAAATTTCAAACAATTCCAGTGATTTAGCACATTTTAAAAGTAACATCTCGAAAGAATTTCAAAGAAATCTTATTAGCACCGTTCTTTTACTGGTAAGTAAGAGAGTTGCCGCATTTCCATGGTAGAATTAGCAGGGGAGACAGATAAATAGTGGACGAAGAGCAGAAACATTGAGTAGGCGTGGAGCCTGCAGGAAGTAATGGATCAAACTCACAGGCGACGGTCCTCTTCGCACGATCTTACAGATTCGTTACCGCAAGAGGAGTCTCGTGTGGATTTTATAACAATTAGTTCCTTTAGAATCCGTAATAATGTTTCCAGCTAACCGATCCAAGAACCGAAAATCGGTTCCGGCGGATAGCGATATAATTCTTGGCGAGCTTTTTGCAACCTGTGGTTGAAGCCCAGCATGGGTCTCTTCAGGATCATAGACAATTCCTCGTTCTGTCCGTTTGTCTTGTTTTCAAACTGCAGGCTTATACGATACAAGTTGGACATAATACAAATGTTGCCAAATTCGAATATCTCGTACCGAACTTTGTCGACGTCCAGTCCAAGATTCTCGATAATTCTCGGCATCTCGCCGATCCATCTTTGGAAATCTTCGACGTGAGACATTTTACTTGAATAAGAGTGCGTGTTCGAGTTCGAGTAAAATAAAATACACGCGAATTACTGTTCGAGGTGAGTTTATCTTTCCTCGACAATTTGAACGATACAAGTAGGGACCTCCCGTAAAGACCATCAATATATAGCTAATTTCGTTTTGCGCAAATTAGACATGCGAATTGTGAAGAGTGGGAGACCGACATTTGTATATCGCAATACTGGAAAAATAGTCAAATCATCTTGTTTGAATACAAGGCTGAGTAACATAGTATTGCTTTGCTATCAGCTGATGGCCGTGCCTGATAATAATTGGCCTATTCAAAATACCGCACGTGGCAGAACAAAGTTACGAATAAGTTAAGCTTTTGAAATCAAAATCGAAAATGCAGATTATTTACGCTATTTACGCTATCTTTAAAACTAGCGCAATAATTTCTCGAAATGTGATATTTTCACATTTTATCATATAAATTACATATCATAAATGACACGAAAAATATACGTAATCAACGTGAAAAGATTATAATGTTGATTTGATTATCTTTAGTAGAATTGTTAAAATATCAGAATCTTTTCAAGTTAAATTTGCGCAACTACGATACTACGCAGATATTATTAACATTTGATTAAATGACTTTGACATATCACACGTGTAAGTAATATTTGACGGTTAAAAAACAGTACAGCGAATATCAATGACCATGACTTTATCTGATTTAAGAGAATAAATACGTGAATTAAGTTTTTCTCAACGAAATGTAATATCTATATATGTGGCGTTATTGACTGTAATAATTTCAATGACTATTATCGACAAATTCAAATATTTCCCAAATTTTTATGTCTGCTTTCGCTCGAAATGTCTTTATTAATTAGGGGATTTAACAAAATAAATACAAGTGTTTTACACCTGTGTAAATTTGGGCATTAGCGTTCACATAAATGAAATTATTTTCGCACATCCTTTTCTAAAAAGGAGATGTGAAGTTTATTGTTGCCGCTTTTCCGCGATGCCGATTGGTTTTCTTGCTGCGCTTACTTCATTTGCAGCTGTCATTGTATATTTTGACAGTTGTGTATAATAGGGTTAATAGTGAAATGTTAAAGATAAATAGCGCGCGCGTAGCGCGCGTCTGTAGTGTCTAGTATCTGATAAAAATGCTGTTGAACATTTAAGACATTGTTTATTTAACAGTTGTATTTAAAGAATAAAATGTATCCATTATTTCTGTGGATACTTCTTTAAATATTAAATCTATCTTATTGTGATAAATGAGCCGAGAAAGTAGTTCTAAATAAATGTTGATCTTAATCTGCTTAATCAATTTTGAGATATTAAATAGTAATTTAAATATCTAAAAAATGCGATTAAAAGTGAGATACAGTTATATTAATGTCAATTTTTGATGTTTTTTTTTATAATATTTGCTTCTTGAAAAAATATTCTTTATCGTTGCTTTAATTCAAATTAAAGCAATAAGAAAAAGAGAATGTTCTTTCAAGTAAGACATTACATCGTAGATATTTATGCGATTGTCTGAAAATGTAGTAGAGCGTAATGATACTAATGAAACTCACCATAATACATCTCTGGCTCAGGAGATGTCGAGCATACCATGTCAGTATCGTCGAGCTCAATTTCCTCCGCCATTGACATGGATGAATCGGGTGCAACAACCATTCTCGTCTCCAATTCATTATCTGGCAAATGTGATTAATTTATTTAATTCTCCCCATGGATTGTGTTACATCGAGATTGCTTACAAAATCTATTACAGTTAAAAAAGAGCGCACGTTTTTAGAAAAATTATCTTTTGTTATATAAGAATGAAATATATTATTGCATTAATCAAAAATTTATTTTAAAAATGGTATCATGTGTTTTACATCACATTATGTAGTATAATACTTATTAGAGATTATTGTTAATCATATCGTACGAAGAGACAAAAGTAACAATTTTTAACAATAATAGAATAATTCAAGAATTTGTTGTATAAAAGGAAAGCGGAAACAAACTACTCATTAGTTTCCCTAAAGACGGTTAACAACTGACTGTAATAGAAATTAGAAAATTTTTTATCACTCACTTTCTTGGCAAAGCAAAGACAAGTCGGTGTGTTGTGAGAACTTATTCTGTTCTTCATCTATCTTGCTCGGTGCCAGTAGTCTCTCGATGCTGAAAGAGCACAATTTCGAATTTTCCGCAGAGTCGTTCGTTCCCTTTGACGAATCTGATTTTTTCATCTCTTCATCAGACATCTTAAACATATTTTGTCAAGATAATACTCGGAATATTCTGCTAATAGCATCTATAAAATTGTCTCCGATATATTCTCGGGTGAATACCCCGCGCTCGAAATTAATTCAACTGATATTAGTTCTTCAAGGATTAGATTTTTAAGTTCTTTTTATTAATCTTGAATAGCACTCACTTTTTTCTTTAAAAAAAAAAAAAACGCGGCTTGTTATTCAATCGGCGTTCCAAGAATTAGTCAATTTACGATAGAACTTCACCAAAGCTTGATTGCACGATTTTGGTATTTCACTATAGCATCCCCTTTTACTAATATATTACTTTTACATTTTTTAATTAAATGAAACATGAGAAAACGATGATACCGGCAACAATAACCGAAAGAATCAACAACAAAGCTGTCTGGTTACATTAGTACCCCCTTGATCTGTTCGGAAGATTAGAGCCGAAACCAGTGACTGTTTTGTCGGGGTTACTCACGGTGTCCAACAATATTTTTTTGGCACTCAAGTCAAATTCTTCGTTCCTCGAGGCGGTATCCTAAAGCCACGTGCTCACAACGTCATCGCGAGATCAACCAATCGCACAAACCTCTGGGCGGGTCTTGGCAAGCACGTGCGTTTCTGGAAGGAGCTTTTAATGATCTCGTATCGCGAGACGGTAGCGACCACTAAACGGTGGTAATGAGGGTACTATAAATTTCTGTCACTGCCACGGAACGCCGTTTAATAATCATGATAGGTAACAGATGTGATGCGAAATTGATTCAGTTATAAAGTCTGACATAATTTAATAGAAAGAAGAGAGAAAAAGAAAGCTGTCGTAGATTTCGGCTGAATTTATCCGGTTGAAAGGCAGAAAAATACTTATATAAATAGTATGTTTAAATAATAATGACTGAATCAGACTCAAATTTAAAAAAATATTTTTATACATTATGATTATATCATGTTAAAAATATGAGTTTAATTAATCATTTAGTTTGATTTAAAGCGCAACAGAAGTAATGCTCATAAAAATATATGATTATATCATGTGTAACATTTAATTTAATAACTATACGTTATTGTCTAACAATTAATTCGATAATATAACACTGCTTAATGTATTCGACAAATGCATTCATACTATTAAACCGCTATTTCGGTGACTATTTGACGCTGGTAGTTATTACGAAGAAGATCATCTTTCTTATGTGCGGTGCACATATTTACGGATTATCGTATATAATAATGAGATCGTTTTGAGTGCGTTGCCCAAAACAAAAACTAGGTCTTCGGTATATTATTAGACACCGCTAAGAAGCGGCGTCCCGCGAATATCCGCGAATTTACATCATACCGCCATTTCGGCGCGTACTTGCTCCTTCGTTTGATATAAACTATGATTTTAATGAGATTATATTCCTGATCGTGTAAAGATAACAAAACAAATTACACAAATTTCTCTTAAACTTTAAACTTATAATCTACTCGTAATTCCATCGCGCAAATCGGTTTTTTAAATAATTTTTGAACTAATAAAATATATATGATTTAAAATCTTTAATTATAATAATAAATAATTTTTTTATATAGAATTGCTCCTTAAAATGTTTGCCTCGATCAGAGATCAAGTGCCATATTCATTTGATTTATACGAAGGATTTTGTGAAGCGCAGACAGAGTTCCCTAGAAACTGTCAGTGGGTGTGACTGCGAGATCATGTTACCGATGTATAGTACCGCTCTGATAGACTTTTGCCGTCTCACATTCAGAAAATTGAAACCCTTGCGGTGGCTGGTAAGCCAAAATGTTTGTTAATTTCACGCTTAATTGGCGAGTGGCAAGTGCAACAGTTAAGATATATCTTCATTCCTCTTAAACGTGTCCGCCGCAACATGGAACGACAGGTTCCTGGCGTTTGTTTTCTCTCGCCTTGAACATATTTTTGGAGTCGTGTTTCAACACATGAAAAATCTTCACGTTGCGACTTTGTAAACGCACTATCATACATATATTGAGCTGATATTGTATCATGTTTGATGTACAAAATTTTGAGAAGCTATTAAATTAATGTATAATTTAATATCAATAACAGTCATTAATGCTTTACGATAAACATAATATATAATATGCATATTTCATGTTAAGCATGTACGGAAAAGGATTTAATTCAATGAAAACGAGATCATGAACCTCTGTATTTATTTCTTTAGGCATTAAGACAGGCCTACATCTCATTCGTATCCTGTGCTCATTTGCTATCTTCAGAAAAAATAACCATCCCTAATTATATCATTTCGCATAAAGACATTTACATGTATGGATTCTGATATCTAGTTATTTCGACTATGTAATTGTATTGACTCATAATTACATTCCTATTATACTACAAAATATAATAAAAAACAATGAATATTAGTAACATTATCAACAAAAAGTATATTCATCGAATCTTAATATAATTAATTGTCGCAATCTTTAACCGCACTCAGATAACATCCCATTGTTATCCGAAATCAAAAGAAAAAATTTAATCAGATAAAAGAAAAAAAGAAACTTACATTCATCAAACTTGCTCTCAATAAATCTATATAAATATTAAAATTTCAACAATCTAAAATCAAGACATTCGCGAAACTTTTGTAGAGCACACGATGTTTTTTTAACGAGCCTTTTCGCATTTGGTCCATGTATCACTTGTAGTTCAATATATTTCCACGATCTTTTGTCAAAATGTATTTTACCATTTATTATAATGCATTAATGTTACATACTTCAGCATTATAATAAATGTTATATTATGATAACAATCCAGATACAATGTTCACATTATTGCTAATTGTGATATCAATTGTAATATCAATTAACAAATACTCGATCTTGTAATGCTACATTACGAACATTTAAACATTTATGACAAAACTCGCATGTTAAAACTTAATGCTTGTGCATTAATAAAATATGTTGCAGATAAGTTTTGTACAATAGAGAGTGAAAAGTGTCGAATATATTAATTGATCATTAGAACATAACGATTTATATAACGGGAATAGTAATTGCATGATTGAATAGCGATTGCTTACAATGTGACTGGAGCGAGATTTACATTACTTTACATTTGCTGTGTAGAGTTACCGTTCCAAGTGTTATTCTCATCATTATCATCCCCACCTGAATGTAATCTGTGTATATTCCCTTGCGCTCTGATTGTAGTTCCTCCTTGATTACCCAAGTATCTTCTAAACAAACTGCATCATGAATAGAAATGTTTATTTAATATATTAAAAATTATATATTTCGTACAATTTTGTTAAACATATTTAAACAGCATGTAAATACATGTACATATAGCTCTATAATCACGCTTGTGTATGTGAGAGAGAGAGATTGTTGAATATATTTATTGGGAAACCTACCCCGATTGAACTACATTTTGCTGATTCGGTGAAATAGCTCTATCAGGATTATTCGTCGTTTCTACAGAATCATTGCTGGAATCGCCACGTTGTTGATTCGCGTCTCCATTAGTGCCAGAAAAGTAACCTACTATATAATTGTAAATACGAATAACGGGTGTGAAAAATGACCATATGAAGCGAGAGAAGAACCCAACGTCTTGTGTACGGTGAAGAACCACCTTTGTGACATTAGACTGGAAACATATAAAAAGATATAAAGTGAATATAATTAAAAGTGTAATATTTTACAAAAAATCTCATTTTACTTACATTTTTCAAAGGAAGAATTAGAATAACGGCGGTTGGAACTAATTCAAGTTCCAGAAGGGTTTTGTCATTTTCCTCAAAAGTCAATTCTCTTCTGGGAAATGATGTCGACATGGCGAAATGTCGGAAAGGTAAATCGATGTTTTCGGCAACGTAGGTGCGTAAGGTGCGCAAAGTGTTGGATGGTTCAAATTGTCCTGTATGGGAATTGCCGGACGGTAGTCTAAATTGAATTCTGGTCACAGTCACGTTACTAGGTGGCGGATTATATTTGGGTTGCTCTTGACATTGCGGCTGTTGCATTTGTTGCTGTTAAAGAAAATGAAAGAAACTTTTAAGTTATTCTAACATAACATAAAATAAAAATCATTAATGATTAAAATAATGCCAACCTGCAGCGCAAGCTCTTTTTGTTTCCGTTCTAGTTTATCTTGAGCGATTTGTTGCCTAACTTTCTCGCGAGCTGCAGTCTCTGCAGCCTTTTCTCGCATCCTTTCCTCTTGAGCTTGTTTTATCTCTAAGTTTTGCTGCGTTTGCCGCATTTTTTGCACGTCGCGCCCGATCTTGCGTCGTTCAACCTCGCGTTCTCGTTCTTTTTTCTGCTCCTCGTCTAGTCGTTGTTTTCGTTGGAGCTCAATTAACTGTCGTGCCCTTTCGAGCTTTTCCTAAAAATGTGTGACAAATATTACTTGTTGTTCAAAAATTATACTGATATCGTTAATGATCTACATACCTCAGTTGTCAATTCCTTATTTTGATTAGCTTGGTTAGCTTCAGCATTTATCTGTGCCGATGCCTCATTATTGTCTCGATCCCCTGTGTTTAATGAAGTTACAGCCTTTGCTGCATCTTCTGTGACATTGTTTTCATTATTTGAGATATCTGATGTAACCGATTCTGTTATATCAGAAGTTAAATCTGTATTTGGATTGGAATTGTTATCATTTATCTTAGTAGTCTCAACGGCATTATTATTACTGCTGCTACTGGCAGCTTTTTGTTCCGCATCAATTAAGTTTAATGAAGATTGTTTATTACTCTTCCCTGCCTTTGTCAGCACATCATCAATTTTGGATTCTAATTCAGCTGCAGTTGCACTGCCAACAACAATTTCCAGTGGCGTGCCATTTTCCCCGATGAAAAATAACGATGGTACTGGTACCAATTGATCTGATGGTTTAATTTAAGGAAAATTCTTAAAAATATGGATTAATTAAACTAAATAATATTAACCCTCCATGCGCACACGTGAGTTTACTACAGTGTCCGAGCCAAAGTGACATCTGCTTGTAACTATATAAATGGCAAGCAAAACAAAACCAATGTTTAGACGTTTATAAAACGTTTATAACTATGAAATCATCAACTACAATGTAGATAGATGTTGCATGAATTTTCATTTTTTATATACTTTAAAGTAGGAAAAGTAATGTCAAACATGACAGACCACGCGTTCATATGGAAAGATACTAGAAAAAAAACATATGTACTTAGCAGTAAGATAAATATTATATAAAAGGATACAGATCTGCGCAAAGAATCTGTAGGCCTCGGACCCACTTTCCAATCTTATAGCTACAAAATGCTCTCCCTCCAGACGGGAAGAGATTTCTGTAGCGTCAATTGCGTGGGCAAGTTGCACCGATGTGTCATCTTTGCCTAAAAGAACATTATACCAATATCTACGTGACTGTTTAAATTTGTACGGCTGATGTGATAAAGAATACATTTTGCGTACTTCACATATTGTATCTGTCACGTATCTGTACGTCGTGTCAGGTTTAGAAGATTATTTGAATCCGACTAAACTGGACTCAATTCTAACCTAGAAATCTGATTACACATACCTTCGATAAACACGACGAAAACTGCCTTCCTCGATTTCGACGTCGCAACCGCCTCGTTAATACTTCCCGCAAACCACTTCATTATATGACAATATACGTATATTTCGTTTCCTTATGTTCTTTAACAATATTGATGACGTAATGAAGAAAGCTGCAGAGTGAAATACTAGAAATTTTGCGATGGACCTGGCCACGACAGCTATACGACACTTCAAATTCTGGGTAAGGTTCAGATAGGTGTATGATGAGTCGTCACTCTCTACTGTTTTCTGATGACGACTCACGACAGTCACGACAATGATTTTACCCCCACCTGTCTCTAAGCTGAGCCTTGAATTTTCCGTTTGTTGTATATATATGTGTAGAATATTTACTTGCCAACTGCCACTTTAATATCTGCAGTAATTACATATATAAATATATAATTAATTGATATATATATAGTATGTATATCAGGATTCAAAACGGAGTGCTCTACTTTTGGATGATGGAATTTATAATGCTATTGGTGGCATATCTGGACTATTTTCCTAATAGAATCTTTGGCCACGTTCCGTAACGTGCATATGCGCGCATTTTCTATAGTAAACGTTACGTATACTATAAATGCGCGAATGTGCGCGTTACGGAACGTGGTTTTTAATTGTTATAAGCCAAACCTAATATAGAGATATATCTTTGTTTCAATTAAATCATTCTTAATTCTGATTTATTCGACTTTTCTCATATCATTATTGAAAATTGCGATTTATTTGCTGTTGCTACATAAGCTGCGTTCCTTTTGACACTTTCAGCGCTGAAAGCATCGCTCCATCTCTGTTTGATATTCAATGTTCAATGTGCAACGAAGACAGAACGATGTTTAAAGCGCTGACAGCGTCAAAAGGAACACATATACTACGTTTACGCGAGCGTTACTTGTGTAGTAACTTACGATAATTTACTCGTTTACGCGGAGTAAATTATCGTAAGTTATTACAAAATCCCATTTACGCGAAGGAATTATCGCAAGTTACTACAGAAGTAACGCTCGCGTAAACGTAAAGCCAAAGATGCATGTCCAATGTATTAAATGGACAAAATCGGAGTAATCGCTCATTGTGAACGCGTCTGTACTGTCTATAGTTGGTTATATCCGGAACAAGAAACGGCGGACTGGAACCATTTCTGCGTAGTCTGTGCTATGTAAATGATGTTGCGGTAACTTGCGGGGAAACGAGTTTCTCATTGTTTTTATTAATATTACGATTGAGCGAACGTATTCCTCGAGAATGGCGCAGTGTCTGAAAAAAGGTACGTATAACCTATATCGATCTTCAACGAGCACGATCACGTGTCACTCGAGAATCGAGGAACCGTTCGGCACGTTTCCGAGGGTGAGTGACGGTCTGGTGGTGGTAGTGGTGGTGGTGATCCGTGTGCGCCGCCGCCATCTTATCCGATTCCGTCGTTTCGGGCGTGCGAGCACGACGAGGGAACAGCGGAATGAAATGTTGTAATGGCGAGTGCGTCTGTTCCGCATATTTGATGTCGCGATAAAGTTGGGGCGTAAACGCCGTCCGCCGTTATCGGTTGGTCCCGACGTGATTCCAACGCTCGCGGGCCTACTCAGAGCGGGCCGTCGTGTCGCCGGCTCGGCCCACGGATCCGTATTCGTTCCGTTGCTCAAAGAGGCGTCGAGACGCGACGCGCGTACGTACGTACATACGTGAATCATACTCCGAGATATGGAGAGGTGCGACTCGAATAACACGCGATAAATCGCATTACTCACGTCGATTACCCCGCGACACGCTACATTCCGCGACACGTGCGACCGACGTATCGCGAGCTCCCGCGACGGGCGGACGGACAAAAAACCTTTCGCGCGATCTCGCCATTGTCTCGCGTAAATCTTTGGTGCACATCTGCGTTGCTTATCTCTTCATATAATATGAAATCGGAGCGAGCATGAAGGTAACCGTGTGCTTCGACAACGTCAGGGTGGTGGTCCCATGCGGAGATGGCACTCTGCTGGTCAAGGATCTGATGCACGAGGCGATCCTGAGATACAAAAAGGCCACTGGCAAGAATGATAACACCTTGACGATCAACAGCCTGTCTTCCTTGACCGGGGGCGGCCTATTGGATCCGGACGACAGATTGTGCGACGTAGCCGACGACAGGGAGCAGATAGTGGCTCATTTCACTAGCTCCGACGTCAGTCACGTTGGCGGAGATGGCGCGAGCTCGGTCGGCACCAACAGCCCTGACTTTTTCCACCGGGACGTCAAGGAGCAAGCATATCCAATCGATATCCATTCCTCTATGTCTAATAGTATTAAGAGAGAAAGCGCCAAGCGCTTGTCGATGCACGCATTGTCAACGAGGGAGCCTTCTCTCACAACGTATTCTGCTCAATCCCTACCTAGAGAGTCTCGACGTAGGGAACCCTTAGGTCAAGATTCTAAAGCTTCGTACGAGTTTGGTAACAACGTCGAGTCTGGGAATCAAGAGGTGCGAGAGATAGTTATAAAAAATGAAGCAGGGCCACTGGGGCTCCACGTGGTGCCATGTTACGACTTATTAGGCAACGATCAGGGACTCAGAGTCGAAGGTATCGAACCAAATGGCCGCATCGCCAGGGACGGACAAATTGATTTGCATGATAATATTATAAAGATAAATGGTCATAACTTGTTGCGCATACCGTTTTCAAAAGTACAAGAGATTTTTAGAACATGCATGAATGATCCTTGTTTACAAATTTCAGTTGTTAAACATAAGAAGAAGATGAGGAACGAAAAATCTTTGCATAAGAATCACGGGAACACCAGTGGGGGATCGGAGAAGACCGAAGGTGATGAGAACGTCAAGAGACTTCAATGCAGCAACTATAATCTTCTGCAGACTGCGAACACTAGGAAAATTGGACGGATGATAGAAATAGAATTAGTTAAAGGAAGTAACGGTTTAGGATTTAGCGTTACCACACGTGACAATCCTGCCGGAGGACATTGTCCCATATACATTAAGAATATTTTACCAAAAGGCGCTGCGGTGGAAGATGGCAGATTGAGACCTGGCGATAGGTTGCTAGAAGTAAATAATAAGGAGATGACTGGCAAAAGCCAAGCGGAAGTCGTATCGCTGCTCAGAAGTATTCCTCCTGGTGGTAAAGTAAGGATGGTAGTATCGCGTCAAGAGGAGATTTCTTCAAACATTCCAGATTCTCAGGGTGTTGCGACGTCTGCTGCTGCCCCGACTACCGAAATAATGGATAATTCAAAGTATTGGAATGCATTAAATAGATCACCAGCGAAAAAGAATGATGTACACGATAAAGTAAGCGCTCAAATTTACGAGAAGTGCACTTATAAACCAGTTCCGAGTAAGTCTTCCGAGGATATCGTCTTATCTCCACGGAAGAATCGCGTGATAATGAATTTAGATATACCAGTACATGATTCTGAGAAGGCTGGTTTAGGTGTTAGTGTTAAAGGCAAAACCAACAGTTCTGACGATAACACCAATATGGACTTGGGTATTTTTATAAAAAGTGTTATCCACGGAGGTGCAGCGTCGAGGGACGGCCGCCTGCGGACCAATGATCAATTGCTCAGAGTTAACGGCGTATCTTTGCTGGGATTATCTAATTCTGAAGCGATGGAGACTTTAAGAAGAGCAATGCTTAACACAGACAGCTCAGTAACCGGTGTGATTAATCTTATAATAGCTAGAAGGGTGTCATCGTATGACACAAGTGAGAAGAATACTGTAGATAATAATTTACAACCTCACCGTAAGCCGGAATCTGTTAGCAGTATATACATATCGGATTCTACTAAGATGAATGATGGCATAGTCAAGGAGAAAAACACTTTAAATTCACAAACCGATGTATTGGATAATGGAGGACTATTGTCTTGCGTAACAGCTTCGCCATGGAACCCTGTCATTGATAGACTAACGGAGCAGTATAGCAAGAGCAGCCTAAGAAACGAAAGTTACTGTCTTGCTACTAATAAGACATGGATCGAGCCTATTAATAATGTAAAGAAAATTATAGGACCACGCGACGATCGAGTTGAAGCGGTATTGCTCGAAGAATCTAACAACGATAGCTCTCAAGGAAGTGACGCCAAACGAAATACCGAGGATAAAGACAGCCAGTATTCCGGAGATCCTACGTATGACAGTCAGTTATCGTTGGAAGAATTAAACTCTTCTTCAAATAAGTTTTCTCGTGATGCTCTTGGTAGACAGAGCATGTCTGAGAAACGACACGCCGCGCTTGACGCTAAAAACACAGATACTTACAAGAGGAACAAAAAGTTGCGCGAAGAGAAGAATAAAAATGCGGAACAAATCAACCAGACGTCGACCAGCCAAACAAGTAATCACTCGAGCGACTTGGGAGATTATTCGAAGAGGAGCGGCAAGTCAAACAATTTTGAGAAACATACGAGTAAAGGGGCCTTAGCTGGAAATACAAGTGCCGACAATAATGTGAAACATTACGAAAAGTCTGTTGATGTTGCTCAATCGGAATACATGTACACTATACCCGGATGTAATAATAAGTTTCTCTCGCCGAAGAAACATTGGCTTGTGGACGATGGACATGGTGAAGTTACGAGTAGCAATAATATCAAAGATGAGAGAGAAGGTTTTTCGAATAGTCGCGGAGATGTAAAACAGGCTTCTCTTAATTCAGCATTAGATGACCGATATAAGCGGAAGAAGAACGGCCTTCGGTCAATACTCCGATTGAATAGGAATAGGAAATCACTTAATTTTGGAGATAGCATAGAAGCGAGGCACGAAACTAGTAATTACTGCAGCGGACGAATCAGTTATATCGCATAAATGCAAAGACAGTATGCAAAATCAATGCAGAAATTCTGCACAAGTAAATAATATATGTATACACATTATCGCGCATCTGCAAATATACACACTTTGCATAAATATAAATATATATTTTATCTATATATATATACGATCTGTTCCAAAGTGCCTTATATCATTAAAAGAAAGTAATTAATTCTGTATATATATGATTTTTTGTACTTGTCTTTAATTGATACGGATCATGTACTTACTACGATATAAACATTACATATGTAGTTTATACAACACTGAAGTTAAATAATGAATAGTTCCAAAGGAGGAATTATATTCCGCTGCAAAGTTGATTCAAACTTTTATCGTTCTCATCAATTTAACATGTACCTATGGAATCTTGAATTTATAATAAAAATGTCAATTGACATCGAGGATAAATATTGTAAAAAGATCACAACAGTCACGGTGGAAGGTATAAATTTTTAACTGACCGACTTTTTTTCTAATTAACTTTTCAGTATATTAATGATGTTACTTTATTATGTGTTTCAGCATTTCAGATTACTCCAAGCACAATTCTTTATCAACAGAAGCGTTTTCGAGGCAAAATTAATATACAAAAACCCAGAAAACCACATTACCTGAGAGCATTGGTAAACGAATTTCTGACGCCTTTTTATCCACTCCCAAATCAAGGCAAGAAATTAGAGGAATTATGCAACAACGCAAGAAAAGCTATGGCAAGGAAGGAGGAAGAGGAATATAATCCTTACCAAAGAATAATAGCACGTGAGGTCCGCAATTGGTTTGACACTTCCAAAATGGTTGCCATTTGTCATCAGAATTCTATGACATCAGAGGACCAGTTTGAATTCGAAGTTCCATTGAGGAGGGCAAATATGTACTACAAACGATATAGCGCTAAGATTATGAAATTAGCACTGACAGATTCACCTTACGCGGCAACAATGCCGTTGTATTCGTCACAGTATTCCATTGTATTTGGTTCTGACGCGAACGTCGCTGCCTTCGAAAAAATTGTTAAAAAGTTTCCACAAGTTATTTTAATGGGTAAGTAACTTCAAAATGTACTAAAATAGGGAAATAGGGTAAGAGAGAAATGATGATAAATCTGTTTCTTTTTTACAGCGGGTATACTAGAGGGACGTGTGTTCAGTAAGGACGATTTTTTGAGATACGGCAGAATGGATCTTACATCATCCCGGGTTTATCTTGTTCAGGTGTTACAGAACGCAGGCGGTAACAACTTAAATCAGCAGCTCACGCATCATCAGTCCACATTAGTTACTCGATTAAAACAGATCGGTAAAAATGAAACAACTTCCGGCGAGAACGAAGAATCGGTGCCTGTATAATTGCAAAAATTGCTTGTATCGATAATTTATTATACATCTTAGATTTATCGAAAGCTTTAAGTAAAGTATGATTTATTTCCTTACACTTTGTATTTGCGGTAAAAATAAGAAGAAGCATTGGTACAAAGTTAAGTGTGTTCCTCTTTTTATTAGAATCTCACTTTCGATCCTGTCAAGGACGGTGCCGCGATAAGATTATAATCATTGAGCAAGCAGCGTATAATTCCTATTGCATACTGATTTATCGGGGTTCGAGCTTACACTAAACGCACGTATAAAAGATCGTCGTACGTCGCATCGAGTTTATAAATTATATGTGTCAATATGAATAATAATATAAAAGCATTTCTAGGACACCTTATTATCATCGTTAACTTCGCGTTTGCTCGATTGCCATGGTAGTTGTAATTCTTTAGTGGCAGTAATTGCAACGGGGATGACACTTGACTCCGTTCTCACCACATCTACAGCCGCCGGATGTGTCCCCTTTACCCTGCGACAAGCAACAAGCACGATCAATAAGGTCGTAGAATCATAACGATGACGTTAATTGTTAACAAGTATACGCTCGTTAGAACCCATGTAAGTAGACATGGGATTTTTTATATGCAAATTGGTGGGAAGAAGCAATTAATAACTAAGATTATGTTATTTATAATATCCAACATCTTTATACTGCAACATATGTTTGGTATAAATATGTTGGACATTATAAATTGCTCTTTTTCCACTAATCTGCATATAAAAAATCCGATGTCTACGTATAAGCTTTCAGAAATCCTAATACATGAAAATAAATTAATATTTACTCCTGGGCCCCAGCGCGGTCCTCTGGTTACCCAACATATTTCCGTTTTGCACATGGAGCAAACCAGCCAGTCGCAACCCCATTTCTTCATAAGGACGACGGCACACGTGGGACACGCAAGTGCTTCTCCTCTATCGACCATCTCTTTGAGCATTGCTGCTGTCCTTTTAGATTCTTGGTCGGTCTCTTTAGAAAGTTGCAATTCTTGCTGATATTGTTTGCAGTTCTTTCCGGTATGAACGACCTTTGAAACCAAAGTTTATAAACTCTTCGTCACTTTGCAGATCTTTGGTTATATTATAAGTTAATCTCATTTGATGCTTAAGCGTATGCACTGCTAAATAAATAATTCGTGCTGCAATATACTACGAGAGAGAGAAAAAGAGAAATAGAATTTTTAAACATTTCCATTCTCAATTAAATATGAAATTGAATAAAAGTGTTGGCAATATTTTATTTATACAACGAAAACCAGTAAATGTATCTATGGAAATAAAACAACGAAGAAAGAATTCTCGCCGTAAATTGAGCGCAAACACATATATATATTTTTTTTTATTTATATAAAATAGCTTTTAATTCAAATATATTTTTATTGTTGGAGATAAAGCGTGGAATTTTATTCTGCATTGTTTTGTTAATACAGCATGTTGATTTCACGCACAAACTAATAGTGATATTTTTATTTCTTTATTACATTTCATATTTTAGTCTTTTTAAATTCATTTTCTCATTTTTCGATAGATATATGCCTCGATAGAGCAACGCTCACCTGACAGGTGAGACAATTATTGGCTCCGCATACAGGACACAAGAAATTGTTCACGTCGTCGTCGTAAATGCACCAACCAGGACAATCCGGTGTCTTGCAATGGAAGGCCTTATTTCCGGCGTTGTTCTCCGCTTGCGCGATCGATTTCGCGAGGTGCTGCTGATAAACTTCCGGCTCGACGAGCTAAGCGTAAACAATAATAAGATCATCGCAAACTTTATTAAAACTTGAGTCGGATAATCTTAAACAGAAGCTCACCGCCTTGATCTCACGTTCTTGAAGGGTCGATTCACACGTATAATCGGGGTCTCTGTATGGGCATTTCACCTCCGCTTCTTCGCAATACGCGATCGTATTGACGATGCATGGTCTGTGGAACCAGTGTATACGAGAAAAATTCATTATACGCGGAAATAAAATGCGCACATTTGTCTTGATTAGTAGAGGTAGACAAGTAAAAAATGTAATTGGGCCATTGCGCAATTCTTTTTTTTTCTTTTTGCGGAATTCACTGCACGAGAAAAACAGAAACTGAAATGTAATATTCGTGCGCACGATTGTGGCGTGTTTCGCAGTAGCGCTAGCGTAATTGTCGCATTAGCAATGTACATGAATCAGCGTATTATAGAGCAGATAAATATATCTGTGATGCATCGTGGCTTAATGTGTAACAACATACATATCTAGACGCTCGAGCCAGCTAAATGCATCTCGCTAGGATAAATTAGAATCGACATGGGCGATTGTAGGGAACAGCTATAATGAGCGAAAGCGATCTATTGTAGATTGTATCTCTGTACAGGGAAAACACCTATGTTGAAGCACGATACGGCCGCTGAAATTGGACCCTGTACTTAACGGATTAAACAGTAATTAAAGCTGGGGATGTGAGGCAGATTAAAGGGTTCTACCTGCAGAACATGTGTAAACAATCCCTCAGAATTACACCTTCGCGCGGACCATATGTAACGAAGCATATTGGGCACTCGATTGATTCGGAATTCGGAATGACGTCCCAGTTCTCCAACGATATCAATTCCTCGTATCGTCCTATCTTGGCGTCTTCCGACATGTCTGTCTCTGCTGTTTCTTGCTATTGTTGCGCAAACATATCAAAACGCGTATTACACATCTCCCATTTTGATTAACATGCAGCTAGTCACGAAACAAATGAAAATTAACAAAACCGCAAAAATAGCGCCTATTTAATAAATAAAACGTTTCGTTGAGACAGTCTGAAGAACACGTACGTAGTGCTCGATAAATTTTCACTGACTGGCAGTGAACATCAGAATGCAGCCAGTATATCGACGCGTATTTGTTACCTGATGCTCATTTGTTGTCAATATTATTTTATCTGTCTCCTTAGTTTCTTGCTTTTCTTCGATTGTTTGCAAGGCTTCCGCTAGTTCCACTGTGTGTGGTGGATCTTGTGGCAATTCCTCGGGAATTTCCTCTGCTGGCTGTGGCTTGTTCGCTTGTGCTGCATTGTCGACTTGTAATTCTATGAAATTCCATAGTATATTAAAATTGGTAATGAGGAAAAAAGCATAAAAAAAAGTATTTCGTATAATTAATTCTAAATATGTAATATAATATATTTAAAATAAATTTTCCAATGACTTTTAGAATAAAGGATAAACTTTGAAATAAAGAAATGCAGGAATAAGTCTTTGTTTGATCTGAGTAGGAATCATATTCAATATAGAATGAATCAGATTACCGGGTGCTACGAGATAGAGAAACACCGGCGAACCGTCCACTGCGTGTAACTCGTCGAGAGTGGCCCCGTCGCGATCGGCCAAGTTTTTCCCAATGATCCATCGCTGCACGTTCGTGGGTATCTCAAACTCCGTATGTACCTTTGTCTTCAGCTCAGCTACCGTCATTCTCGTCGGCAGCTGTTATCACAGCCCGGTCCATGAAACGTTTTGTTTGCATATCGAGCAACCGTCAGTATCGGTTACTTACCTGAAGTGGTATGGGCCCTTGGTGAGCGAGTTTGTCTTCGATATACATATTGACTTTAATCGACTGATCCTTCAAACATGCCGCCGAACGCTGTCGTATCACGGAACAATGGATCTTGAGCCTTGCCAATTCCTTCGCTAATCCCGCTGCTTGCTGATGATGGCCCGACGCTATGGCCCCTTCCAGCTTTCTTAATAATCGATTTATAGCCAGAGTATTCATGTTCCTCGCTGTTGAATTATCATCTGTAACAATAATCGTATCGCCAAGTTATTTTTATAATTAAAAATAAATTTTAAAAAATCTAAATCAAGACAAATTAATTGAAAGATTAATTTTTTTAAATTTTTTAAAGATTGCTTATTTATTAATTTTATTTATTTTTTCCTTATTTAAAACGAATAATTGAAACAGAAACTTTATTCCAATTTTGTCAAATCATCATTTTAGTGAATGCAATTTGCGATATTACCTTCATTTGTAAGCTGATCATTGTTCAACATGGTTTTACTCTCGTTTGTAATATTGGACCGCTCTTCGGGCTGATTACTTTGCAAAATATCCTTAGATGTCGTCGGATCCGATCGTTGTTTCGGCGATTTGGGAGGGACGACGTGAGTATTGGCGTACAGCGACGGTTCTATCACATTGGCATAAGTGTTTTCCTTGGATACCTCCTTCGTGGTCTTCGAAGCTTCTATCTCGGCGAAATCGCGCGGTCGTATCAGTTGGAAAGTATTTTTCACAAGGACCGAACCTTTGCCAGAAGTTCTGTAGAGCACGTTCTCGTGTTTCCATCCCGACGTGGACGGCCGCGCGGCGGAAGTCGAAGGCTGATTTAATCTGCGAATGTTTCCGCTGGTTTGCGCTGACGAGGATACCTTTTGCTTATCTGTCTCGTAATCGTTCGACGACGTCGTCGCCGCCGTCGTCTTCGTTGCCGTTACCGAGGCGATGTAGGAGGTCTTGTTTGCAGGTACAGGTGAGTGCTTCTCAACTTTTTCGAGAACATCGCCGTCGTTTGACACAGTCTTCTTCGACTTGGGCCGTTTCGGTAACGAGTGCTTCATCTCCTTCAGCATCTCCTTCAAATCCACGGTAATTGGATCCTCGACGGTATTGAGAACGGTTAATTTTGTCTTGCTGGACTTCGCTTTCCGGTCTGAATCAATCAAACGCGACGTTGTTCCCTTGTCTCGCATCGATCTTTCCGGCTGTATCACCGTTCTCGTTTTACCGTCCTTCTCGGCTTCCACCAGGATATCAAGCACTTTAGCCACTTTGCTCGATACGGCTTCATCCTCCGGAACTTTGCCTGCGACACCGTCAAATTCGGCTGCCGGTCTCCGTTCGATGAGTTTGAACTCTCTAGAGCGCAACTGTCGGTCGATCTCGTCGAAAATGTCCGAAAATTCCGTCTGCACCCCTTCCGCCTTTTCTCTGAAGGGATCTAACGCGCTTTCCGCGCCCTCAGCTAAGTTACGAGCACGGGAAAGTAGAAATCTTCTTCTTGTTTCATTGTTCAATCTCGGCGATTCTTTGCCCTTCATTTCTTTGGTGATTTCTTGCCGCGATCTAATCTTTTCTTCTGGAAACGCGATATCCTTTTGAGCAGTTACAGACTCATTCGTGCGATTTGCAGCGAGTTGACTTTGTAAATACGATATTCTACTAGACGCGTCCTTCATCAGCTGATCATTCTGCTCTTTGCCGGAGGTAATTTTGACGTCAACCGACTTTACGTCCGGTTTATGAATCGGTTCGGTTCTATTCCTCGACGATCTCTGCTGCGGCAAAAAGTACCTGGAGATATCCTTATCAACGCGGACGCTTTGGCCGAGATCTTGCTGGACCGAGAATCTCTGATTCCTCCAATCTCCGATCTCTTCGAATTTGCTGTTTCTCGTTGCATCGCGATCAAGCTTATAACCCGGCTGATCCCTTTTAGCGTTGAAGAAATTAGCGTTGACCGTGACCTTAGTGATATTACTGATGGCATTGAATTTTGATATCAACGCGCGCGTGCCTCGTCTAGGCGACGAGCTCTCAATCGCCGAGGTGACCATGTCCTGAACAAGTTCTTCGTTGACGTCGTTCCTCCTTTCGAACTCGTCGGCAAATTTTGAGGTCTTCAACAACATCGACGCCCGCGTTCGCGCCTGCTCCTCCTGCACGATCGCCGCCGCTTCTTTATCCAGCTCGCTGATGTTCGTCAGGATGGACAAGCCGGACTTTCGTTTGGCCTCCTGTCGTTTTCTTTCATCGCTCTGCCGCTCACCGCGATGGAAGAAACTTAGTCTCGATAGAGAAGCATCAATGGAATAGCTCGGAGAAGAATTTACATTCATCCCGAGCTTACACTCCTCCTTCATTTCGGCAGACGTCATTGGGCTGCGAAAGACGGCGCCTCTCTTGGACGATCCGGAGTGCTCGCGAGAGTGCTCGAAAACGCTGCGCTTGTACCAAGGTCGAGGCATGTTCAGGGTACCAACGGGGCTCTGCGCTTTTTCCTGAAGGACCGTCACGCTGGACGCTCCCGCGTCGCTCTCGTTGTTCTTCGCGGCCTTTGGACTGCCGCAAACTTCCTTCTTTGACAGCAACATTCCACCCTGAAGGATCAACGTGTCGTTGCTGATCGACTGTCCTTCGTCGGCATCTTGCCGCTCCTCTATCTCCATGCCGCCGCCATCGGTGACGGGCTTTGACCGTTCCACCGACGCTGTTTCAGGAGGTCGTGGCGCCCGTCGTTTGCGTCTATTGCTGCTTCTCGCCGGCGTTTCGCGTGCATCGACCTCCACGATCTTCACCGCGCCGGGAGGGTTGGGCGCTCTCCGTTTTCCCTTCACGTGGACCCGTCGCCGTGCGGATCCATCGAGTCTCGCGCTCCCATCGAGTCCTCTCGACGAGTCCTTTTCGGTCGGCAGAAAGTTTCCGCACGAGCTGAAGGTCGTAGGTTGCAACGAGTACCTGGCGGTGATGTCTCGTTGCCGAGAGTGTACATTAATCGGTAACGTGCAGGCGTTGTTCTCTTTGTTACCCGGGTACACCTTCGAGGCTCCCGCGGCGAACGGGCCGACCTCGGCCGCCTGCTTGAGTATATCCAAGGACAGCACGTTGCAACGGCCGAGAGTTCCCGTGTGAAACGCGAAACTACGGACCGTGGTGGTGCTGTAAAAGGTGTCTACGCTCTCCACGCTGGAGTAGATGCTGCTACGTCGTCGGACGACGCCATCGTCGTCCGGCCTCGCGCTCGTTCTCCGTCGTTTCTCCACGGTTGAATCGCGATTTCGCTTGAACCACCTGAACAGGGAAAACCTGCCGCTACCACTCCCGCCGCCGCTGCCGCCGCCGTCGCCGCCACCGCGTGTTAGGGAGGTCGTTTCACCGTCAGCACCACGCGCTACCACCGCGTCCGTCGCGACGACGATACCGGACGTTCCTCCTCTGCGGTCGCCGTTCGGTACGCCATTGAGGGATGCGCTCGTCTCGTTGCTACATGCGGTTGCTTGCTGTACCATTCTTACTCACTCTCTCAAACATATCCCGAGGCACCGCGCCCCGCCTCAGCCGTCGCGTTGCATAGTTCTTTATTTAGATTCACTCGAAACGCGCGGTTTTAAGTTCCCTCCAGTTTCTGCTGTGCGCGAACGCCAAAAATCTCGTCGTGCGTCGGAGCAATCGGAGAGCAGTCGCTCTCGCGACGACGGTTACGTCCGCCGGATAGACATCTCTTCGTGGGAATCCTCTTTTCCCCTCGCTCGTCTTCTCTTTCGGGTCTTCGTTCTCCCGTGCTCAACTGGCAGCTCCCTAATTCATCCGCGTCGGGAGACTTCATCCGCGGACGGAGGTGTCAGTTGCATCGCGGCGACGACGTCTTCGGGCGACGACACGCGTGCACGCACGCGGACTGTATCGGCGGGTTTTGCGGCCGAATCGCGCGTATAGTCGATGCTGAACCGGCGACAAAGATACTTACGTCGGTAAACTATTAATAGATTTGGGTGGTCTCCTCTCGTGGCGGGGTTATTTTCAAGTCCACTTTGCACACCGCGCGCCACCGGTCGAAATCAAAACAGAGAAATACGGGGCTAACGTGCGCGCTTTTTTAATGCACGGTGAAAAAAATACTATTGCTTGCCTCCGGGCTCTGGTCGACGTTGAAATGTTTTCGATTGAAAGTGATATGCGATTCCGCACGCAGCACGTAGTTTCCGCGTTCCTGTATTTTAACAACGCCTGCATCTGAAATATTTCAACTAATGGAAATATGGAAACGATGAATATTTTGCAGAGAATATACGCCCTGGTTTGTCTTGGAACTACAGTAATATGTTCACAGTACCGTATTGATCATTAGTAATCAATAAGAGCTATTGATGAAAGCTATGTTTCACTTATTTGTTATTTCATTCATTTCTCATCGATTTAATGAACGACCTACGAATTCGTGGCGTTACGAAATTATTTTTATATCATTCAAAAGTCTCACAGCTTGTTATAGATTGCCACATATTTCGTTTTTTTATTTTCACAATGGAACGTATTAATAGTTGGTCGATACACGAGATCTTCAAGGCGTTGACTAAACATCGTCTCTTGAAAGATCGCTATATCTGTACACGGTATTCTCCAATTGTATATTTATTTCCGTAATAATTCTAGGCATTATATGCGTTCGGTAGCAACTCTGGATTACAGACACTGGATCTTAAATTCGGAGGATCTTAAAATGTTTGATTTACGTCGCCGTGACGATTTGCATCGCGATGCATGCGCGGTATTATTTTTGGATTTGACTAATCCCGTGAGAGGGCATGGACTAGCGAAGCAATGACCAGGCGCTGCCTCTGTGATGGCGCGTGACTCTTCGTCGTCGAGTGAATCAGCGCGCGAGTTTTGACAAAATTCCGAAAACGCGACACGATACAATGGCCCCAGAAAGTTTTCTCTATGGCCTTGAAAAACCCACGCAACACAGACACGCGCTTTTTTTAAGCTGATCGGATGTTGCCTCGCACCATGTAGGATTTTGCACCGAAAATAAACTCGCGGTTTGCACATCATGCTCGCGCATTTCGGACTGCGTCCTCTAAAAATACGCGGAACTTCTTGTAGAAGTAGCGGGCACAGTATAATACTGTCGTCAAGCATAAAGAAATCTGTGGCAATTTCCCGCATATTAAATTTATTAACTTAATAAAGTGTAAATTTTAATTTTTTGAAAATGTGCCATGTGTACGATAAATAATATTTAGCAAAGTCATGTATTTCTTTAAAATTTAGCCTGTATAAACAAAATAAAAATTATTGAGTACGATATTTAAAACATATGTAGTAATGTAACAATCATAAATTATAATCTTTTTTGTATCTGTGAATGTAGAACAAAAAATTAGACCTATACGTTATACTTGTATGAAATATTTTTAAATTATTAATCGTTATTTATAGTATTTATAGTATTTATAGTATTTATAGTAAAATTTTGGATATCATATTTTAAAAGCTTATCATTTTGTGTATTTTTTAGTTTTCTTGACAATTTTTTTTGTAAAATATTTGGTAAAATAAAGGCAGAATTTTGTGCGTAAACGTCTAACAGTCATTGTTGGTCGTTATCGTTGACGATCATTCTATTCTTCAATTTACGACTATCGAATAAGTTCTTAGTGAAATATGGTATTCTCCATCGTAAAGTTCTCAGCATAATTATTCTAACGAGGCAGTAACCGTAGCAATAAAATGTAAATAATTTTGCTGTGCAGAATTTCACATTTGAACGCTACTAATTTTTAATGGGTTTAGCTCTTCTATTATTGCACATATTATAACAATACGTCGTATTTCTTAAACGCATCGGCTATCGATTATTGTATTTTTCTTTTTTCCTTGATTTGGATTTATATGCTCAATTTCACCGTTCACATTTAACATGTTGACGTATTGACTAAATCTCTCTCTCTCTCACTCTCTGTCATTAAATTTCTTCTATTTGCGAATAAATAAAACATATTTATACAATTTTATAAGCAATCATTAATTTATTTTATAAACTAAAGTATATTTTTAATTGTTTTTAGATTTCGAAGAAAGTACCAATAAAATAAAAGATTGCTTTCAACAATAGATTATTATATATTATATATTTAAAACGCATACTTGATTCTCATAAAAACTAAAGCGATTCTGTAAATACAAGTACACAAACAGGCATACACATTTTCGTGCAAAACGCAAATGCAGAGATGCAGACGACTATCTCGCAATAACTCGGGAACATGATCTATTGAGAGAGCATGCATAAGCAATTAGGACGACAAAAGGAAGAAGCGTGTTAAGTATTCGAGCAATTTGCAGTTGCGCAACCGACGATCGTGTGCCATTAAAATTAATTAAATTCTGTTATTGGACGAATGATTTGCTCGGATTACATCGGTTCATCCACGTTTTGCCAAATAGCAAGAAGATACTATCTATATAGCGGTTTGTTCTGCTTGGTAGAACACAGTGTTATAGAAATAATCATTTCCCAATCTTCCTTGATTATACGAAGCGACGGAACAGATCGACTTCCTCGAGGCTCATCGGAAATTCAGGGGGATTCGGGGATATAGAACAGAGACACAAGCTAAATCTGCTTGGCGAGTAAACGAGAAATTTATTCTACCTGAATCACAATAATAATTTGTGGAAGATTTCACACACAATTAACTCAAAATGTTTTCGCGAAATCGAATAACGCGACTATTATTTTTTCGTGGCGAGCACGCAATGAATGGCCTCCCTTAATGTTTATTAACGAATGTACGTTAAAGTATAGATTATATCATGGGATTGTTACGAAGGTACTTAGCGCGATGATTGGCGTGATGATTTCGCAATGAGGCAATAACGAGACTAGCTCTTTGCATATAGAAATTCGATGTATCGACTATACGACGTGAGGAGTATAATTTCCTTTTATATGTAACAACCTATTTATGGATAGCAATGGCGAGACTCGTCGAACGATGCTTTCGTATTTGCAATGCTGGGGATTCGTATCGACACGGTAATGCTATTACTGCTTGATTATTTTGATCTGACATTGGTCAGATCGTGTGCGTTTGGCCGAAAACACTTGGCGGAGAAACACTCCACCATCTGATTCCATTGACTCTCGTGGAATCAGTTTCCAGAGGTATCGAATTGCGAGAACAGTGCTTGGACCAGTTCGATGCACTGGCTCGACGATGCATGGTCTTAACTCTCTTTTATTATCGGAAGTCGAACTGGAGCGCGGGGTTGCGCGCATTCCCCCTTTCCCCTCGCGTCGCCACCCTACGAGGGAGTTTATTTCGCGATTCCACCGGTCTGCCCCCTGCCCCTGGGTTCTTGGCTTTCGCCGTGTCCCGCGTTCTGAATACAAATCGCGACGTTCTCTTTCCCGTGGACCGTCAGGGCGCTGCGCGATCATTACCATTAATGAAGAAACCGGTATAGGGATGCTTCATCGGTTATACCTCCGCCCATTCCCCCGGCTATATCCTAGACGCATAACTCACGATGACCGAGACGGAAGTTCCGAGGCCGAATGCGGATAGTAATGCGGGATTATTCCCGCCGGATACACAAGTCCGTCCATATTCAGCGATTTACAATTTTTATATTCGTGCGTCCTCGGGGAACGTCGATGTCATTGAACCCTGGGTGGAAAAGGTCGACGGCGAGAAGAACGCCGGGGTTTCGGCGAAGGATATTTTATTTAGACAATCTCAGCCCTCTCTCTCCCGTGGCGTTTGACTATGCGAAATCGGATGTAAATTAGTTATCGAGCAAAGAATTCTTATGCGGCGAGAACGAAGAAACGGCGAGAGAGAGAGAGGAGGTTCAAATGAGGAGACGAATGATTTTGGATCCGAACGCCGGGGGATGACGAGCTGAATTATGAATCGTTCGTTCCTCAAGATTTTTTAGTTATGAATGGGACATGTAAATACGCGCGAATGCATAATAAAACAGCCGCGCGAGGGTCCGCCGCAAGTACGACGGTCGTGTTATTTATTTTATAGAAACGTTTGCGTCGCGTAATCAAACCGCGAGATTAAAACGTCGTGCTTCAAGTCAAGTCGAAGCACCGCCTTTAATTACGTTCAAATTAAAATTGAAATAGTTGAACGACAAGATTGCGAAATGTATTTCATATATAAATTATTTTTACCATTTCTCTGATTTCCCTTGCATATGATATCTGACGAGTTTATTCTCATAAAAGCTTTTCCTGTATAGCACGTAACTTTATCAACCTGTAAAGGACGGGAAACCTATTTTTAAGCTCCATGGGGATCGCTTATTTTTCGTATAACACTTTAACGCATATATATAAGTTATAAATGAAAATCATAAAAAGTCATGAAAAAATTTGCCCGTTCTCTAAAAGTTGACGGAATTAAATAATGTAGATATGTCAATAACTCAGTTGCGATATGAGTTTTATTTGCAGACGATAGATGAATGGTAAAGCGAAGTTCAATTCAGTCTTTCTCTCGGAAGGTTGAACAAATAACAAACATTTTGTATCAATAAGCCGATATCTAGGTTACCTTCTGCTCGTTTTAACTTATAATAAAGTCGAACTTTATTATTACGAGATGAGAGACATTTTGGAATTGTGCGCCGCTAGTAAATATATGTTACTTAGAAATGTACAGCATTATTGCTACGCGCATCCTTTGCACCAAGAGAAATGCAAACGAACGCGGTCGACGATAATCCTGGATTCTCAGCAGTCTGATAAGGAATTGCGATGCCTTCAATATGCAAATTTTACGATGTTCGACACCTATCGGACCTGCTCCTCGACAGACATTGGAGAAGAAATAGCCATTCCATTCGACGAGAGAAACCAACTAGAGATACATCAATACACTTGCAAATACACTTGCGTTATCCTACATATAATATTCAATTTGTCCTAACATATACATTTATATTTGCAACATTATCTTATTATTGTTTAGATAATAAGGTTCACAGAATGCTGTAAAAATATCAAGAGATGATTCTTTATACGAATTGATATTTTTATCGGTGCAACATTTGAAATATTTGTTGACACATAATTAAGCACATCTGACAAGTTCGTTAAGAAATTGACGTTAATTTATATCACATAAATGCATGTATTAAATAGCGTCTTTAACTTGTCAACATTGATATTAGTACGCGAGTACAAATATGGATCATACAAATATTTTGCCGCGACGCAGGGAGACAGATATCCCGGCTATACAGTGAGGAAAGTATTTCTCAAGCAGACTTCAGTACATGTTGGAAACGCTAACTACGTACTTCAGTTACACCGCCGTACGTGCGCGAGATAGTTAGATTGCCTTCCCCAAGTTATCCTTCTACATGATGTTAAACTTCTCTCTAGTTTCCATTGACCATACGTATGTTACCGTACTTGCACAATATCCGCGGTGTTCACTGATGAATATGAGACCGTGGACAGAGATTAGATTACGTGAATTTGTGAACCTGTCAACAGTACTGACAGCAAGTAGTCTTTAGCGAATTAAAAGCATGTAAATCTCTTTGTAAATAGAGGTACAAGAGATGTTTTGATATAATTATAATGAAAACCCGATAGTTGCGAAGAGAGACGCTATTGTCAACAGCATTATCATATTTATCATACAATGTATAACGACTATTATAAAGCTACGGATC